CCTTCCCCCGCAAATCCCCCAACCGTAAATTTGTTTTTGATCCTTTTTAATTTTTTTTTGATCCGCGATGCCCAGCAAACGTGCTGTTTTTTGCAGCAAATCCCCCAACCGTAAATTTGTTTTTGATCCTTTTTCAATTTTTTTTTGATCGGTTGAGCCTAAATTTGTTTTTGATCCATTTTAAATTTTTTTTGATCCTCCATCCCTCAGATACCCAGTCGAGTCTGTATGTCTGAGTCGATCGCCGAGTTAGGTGGCAACGATAACGCGCCCTCCGCTTCGCCAACTCCGCCTGGAGCTTTGGCAGCCCGAGGCTGGGCCATGGCAGGTCACATCGCAAGCCGTTTGCCGTCATTTGTAGCGTTGAGTCCTGCCAAGTGATTTGGAGGGCAGCTGGCAGTGGCGCTGTGGCAGAGCGGGGCTTAGTCTTTGTGCATTGGACAACTGAAGTTTCAGAAGAGCTCTCGGCATGCCAGTTTGGGCAAGCACGTTCGGCTGCTCTGCTTGGTCCAGAATGCCAGTGGGCCCAGGTGCTACGTTGACTGCGCAAGCAAACCAACAGCTGGCCGTTGCCTCGTCCATGACATACGCTGGAATGACTGTGCCATGTCACTGCATCAGATTTGGCGCTTCCCGGGTGGGAAAGTCTCCACTTGGCTTCGAAAGGCATCTGCCGCGCGATCGGCACATGTGAACGCAAGCATACTTATCATCTGCAAGATTCTTTCTAGAGGTATTCTGCTTGAGATATCTGGGCAACATGATGCGGCATCAAGAGCAGTATGTTGACATGTGTGTTGTTCTGACGACTCACAACAGGCAGCCTTTGAAGAAGGCTTGAGCGAGCAGGCCTCGCCCTACTCTGCACCAGGGTCGGAGATGGTCGGAGATTGGCGAAGGTTTGAGTCCAGCTGCATCCCACGCCTTTATGCAGTTCCCATGTGTCAGTGCTTTTCACTCGCCGCGTTTGTGCAGGGTTGGCTTGCCATTTGGGATCCTGAATATGGCCGCCTGGACAGCACCTAGGATCTAGAGGCTTGAATGTCCAATGTTGGCACTTGTATTGCGCCTAACGCCCGGACATGAGCGGGAAGAAGTGAAAGAGTGGCGACTGCTGCAAGACTTAGCTTCAAGATGAGGTTACGGACCTTGGGGTCTCTCGACACCGAGCGACCAGTGACTCGGCAAAGCTTCGCAAAGACCCTTCATTGCCTCGCCTTCCACGGAAAGCTTGGCTTTTGCACCCGTTTTTGGGTTCCCAAACCTGTCCACGATTGCTTGGGAGGAAAGGTGGGCAGCAAATGCATCCATGAAGCCGAGAGCCTGAAGCCAGGTGAGGCACCCGTTTAAGGTCATGAAGTGTGAATTGACATGCATGCATCATGACTACGATCTCTTAGTGCTTCTCGGTGTTGCTCCAGAGAAGCAGCACGCTGGATGGCGACAGGGGCTCAGGCTTGCTGTATTACTGATGTGTGACTTTCGTTTGCTCAGGTTTTCTTCCGGCAGTGACACTGTACTCGCCCTAGGCCCTAGGCTCTAGACATGCTGAGCCACGCTGAGGAACATCTCCCTCAACGACTTTGCATGGATGCTGTCCAATGGCACAACCAACCAGATGATGACTTCAAAGCTACAGAAGGAGCCATGCACACCTAGCTTGCTGCAAACACATGTGTGTAGGCATGTTTTAGTGGCAGGATGGAACTATGGTATTTGTTCCTCTGACGGAAGAGAGCCTCCACGAGATGACGCTCTGACAGTTCTCCGAGGGGGCATGAACGCAGTTGGATCTTGGGATCGTAGCAGCTGTAATATGAGGGTAGTTGAGGATGAGCCACAGGAATCTGCGTTGATGTCCTCTACCCCCTATCGTGCATTTATCTGGCACAGTACTCCGATGGCTTACCATGACTGCTGGTGAAGGGCTAACATGGCAGTTGACATCCAGTGTTTGCCAGCAGCCGAGTGTCTGATGCCATTGCTCTTGCCCAATGATGGGCGTCTTGCAATTTCTTGCATCTCTTGAAGTATACGCTACAAACCGCAGGCACTTTCTGCCTTGCACGCGATTTTTAGGAAAGGCGGCGCTTGGTAAGTGAAAGGTGCAGGCCTCGCTTGGCCGCGAGAAGTTTGCCGGCCTTACCAAGCCAAAGCAAGCTCTTTCTGAAATTTTGTTCGGCGCTCGCTTCGGTGTCGCAGACTGCCTGCATGCTTCGGCCATCCTTTCAGGAACTATTAAACAAGTATCGCGGCAAGTGTTTGCGTGCCCAGCGGCTGCTGCCGCAAAAGCCTCACCCTGAGATGCCCTTGAGGGGACACGCTGCAGCTGTGGCCAAACTCGGAGTGACGGAGGAACCTCATCGTCCGTCAAACGAACTTTAGTGGGCTCTGCCGATGCTGCATTCTGGTTTCAGAATGGAAGCAGACTCCTCCGGCACTCCTAGCTCCTGGCTTCGGCACGTGCCGTGTCTCGAGCAAGGGGGAAATTCAGGTGTGGAAACTGCAAAGCTCCACAGCTCCGCGCAGGAGGCAGATGAAAGCGGCGCTGCTTTAACTGCAATGTGCACCGATTTGGGGACTTCCCTCTCTGGACTCAGCTTAGCTACTGATACTGACAGTGAGTCTTGCCATGACTCGTCGAGGGGCCCGCGGCCTGCACCGTGGAGGTAGCCACCGGGTCTGCGCCACTGCTTGGCCGGGGGCCTCGGATTTGCCACAGTAGCCGCAGTCTTTTTGCACAAGCCCCTGCCCCCCTAAACGAACAAAATTCAGGAAAAATATCAAACGAAATATGACTGGGGTTTAGCACTACGAAATTATGACTTGCTTTCGCTGGGTGTCGATGATTTCCATACTTTTCCGTGAAATGTTCACTAAGTTTTATCTTCTCGTGCGTTTTGTGTTTTTGTATTTTTCCCGGAGCTCTCAACATTGCTGCTGCCTTCCGGCCGCTTGACGTCAAAATTCCAATCCGCCATCCGGTGCCTTCGCGGCTAGGCGCGATCAGGGACTTATTAAGAGCCCAAGGAAAACTACAAAACATATATATATATATATGAAAATGCACACATTCTGTGTCATAGTTTTGATAGTTGTCCTGGATCTCTCCAAAATTCCTGATTTCGCCCCCTTCCCGTCAAAATTCCGGTCTTGACAGCGGCCGCCCGGTGCCTCTTCAGGCCGAAATCAGGATTTTTAGTGAGCTCTTGAAACAATGCCAAATCGTATGCGCAAGTGTGTTTTGCCTTGTGATGTCGGTGGTTTTTCTGTTTTCCATACATGCATTTGACGTTGCACGTTCAATTTCATCTTTGGCGTGTTGTTTGCATACGTTTTGCATTTTTATCGTCAACACTTTTTTGTGTTTTGCTGGAGCTCTCAAAAGTTTCTGATTCCGGGCGCTTGCCGTCAGGAATTGGTCCGGGCAGGCCCGTCCGATGCCCCTTTGCGGCTGGCCGTACTCAGGAATTTTGGAGAGCTCTCGGACAAACAAAAACACAAACTGAGCAGCATGTGTTGTTTCGCATGAGTTCTGTGTGTTTCGCAGCTTTTTGGTGTTTTTCGGTTTTGACATACTGAATTTCATATCGGTTCCTGGGAACCATATTTCTGCATAGTCTCATTGTTTTTGGAAACCGAGCTTAAGCCAGTCCATGGGATGATTAGGTAGACATAAGGCAATGTGAATAGGGCATCAAAGCGAGCAGAGTCTTTGCGTGAAAGTCTACAGGCACAAAGCCGAGGCCAGCGTTCTGCATCGCGGTCCTCTTCGCAGCGTCAGCAGTTCCAGAAGCCTTTGCAAAGGCAGGACACCGTGCACTTACTGTCTCCTGCGGTGTCCGTCTGCTCGACTTTTTTGTGACTGTGATGATGCTTCCTGTGAACGCCACAGTCCCGAGACGTCTCGCGAGTTCCGTTTGCAGGTCAACCTCTGGCAGGCTCAGTGGGATGCGTTGCGACCCCAGTCAGTCGAGACAAGACGCACAAGACGGATGTGCACAGTCTTCGGCAGCCATCGTTGGTCTTGGCATTCGCCATTCTGGAAGTTCGTGAGCTTGTGAAGGAGCAAGAAGTACAACGAGTACAAGAAAAGGAAAATCCGGGAATGGAGCTCCGCCGGCTACCATGTCGGAACCGTGACTTGATCGAAGTAGTAACAACAGTAACAACAGTCACTTCACACACATCACTTCACACACTACCATATCCGCTACCTGCCCTGAGCACCTTTGTCCCGCAGGCAAGGGATCGTGCCGGCGAGGGCCTCCTTCTCGGCAAGGCCGCGAGAGTGCACGGTACTGTGGGGCGCAGCCTGCGTGTGTGCGCTCTTCAGGAAGACGAGAATGTTGCCGTTGATCCCGAAGCTCTCCAACGCTTGGCCAAGGAACCGGTGATTCTGAAGATGCTCTGGCAAGTTTACAGCACTGTTTGCAACACGTTGTTTGCATCCAATCCCTGCACGCTGCTACACACTACTGGTCGTGGTTTAGACTTCCGTGGTCTCTGAGGGGTGTGTTTTGTGTCTTTCTGTGTGTGTGTGTTCGCACAAAGATGCTGCCAGGCTGGATCGGTCCGGACGCGCCATCAAAGAGGGCGAGAAAGTAGATGGGCTCGGCACTTTCGCAACTTCGTGTCAGCGGTATGATGCCGTAGAAAAGACCCTGCTTACATGATCGTAATCTCTGCGATTGCTTGTTACTCTTTTGTGCCTGAAGGCCGTCTGCGAGACTTCTGCCAGTCCTAAATACTGTGTGACAGCCTCCATGACGTGCCGACTAGAGTTTACGCAAGGTTGATGCCTTGGTCATACAAGACGTATCGCGGCTTGCACTCTGCACAGGCACCATTGTCTGTACCCTGCAATCAGACTCGGTAATCCGTGCTCTCGCAGGCACCAGAAGGATTGGAAGATTTCCTAAGCAGATACAACAGCCGGATGCTCAAGTTTTTGCGCATTGTTCAGGTCCATGTGCTTTGGGTTTGTCAATGGTGTGTAATCTGGTGTGAAAGTCTCGCTCACCCGTCCATGTTGCTGCAGAGCCTAGGGTCCAGAGCCTCTGTTATTGCAAGACGATGCTGACACAATCTGCCGCCTCTGCTGCTAAGAAATGGACAAGAGTGTGGAGAGCATCCTCGTCCTCGGCCCACGGGCACTGGACGAGTTCAGGCCCGCTAGCAGAGTCGAGCCCTGGAGAAGAGAAGAACTCGTCTCTTCCATTTTTAAAACGCTTCAAGACAAGGATATGCACTGCTGCTACGTAGCGGGCCCGCATCTGTCAGGACGAACATGGCGGTCTTCAAAGGGAAGGCGTTCGCTGCAGTCGTTGCATTGACATGTTCCCCCGAGCGCTAGCAAGTCGAAAAGCTGATGCTTGACAGTGGTATTGACTCGGCTAGCTAGCCATTTGGCATTATTTGGCGCAATGAAGCGTCGCACCAGCCTTGACCTCAAGCAGCCCAAAGGGATGCCCCAGTGCAAGCTTCAATCATTGAGATGCACCTCGATGGGGCCGCACGGGCTGGGAGCTGCATGACAGCATCTGCTTCAGCACGGCTACCACGAAGGATGCAGACGGCATGCAAGGAGACGAACCGACAATGTTCGCCCAATAGCAGGAGATGGAAGGCAAGAGACAC